GATGTGAAAGGCACTATGCAAATGTAATTTTGTTGTTGTTATTGTTGTTTTCCCATCCTCACTGAAAACCTACTTGCACCTGCTTCTCCCACAGGAAGAAACAATTGATGCAACATTCATGTCTATCAAAATTCTGCTGGGAAAAAAAAATTATTTAAAGAATTATCCTTGCATTTGATATATTGCGGCAAATATGAAAACAATTTTTTTAATGTAATATAGGTTTTTTTCTCCTCATTACAAGAGAGTAGAGCAAGTCAGTCAGAAATCCCATTTATCAGGTAGGAAAGTCTCCAATTTTTCCATGAGCTAAAGTAATTCCCTTGAATCATCACATGGAGGTTTGAAAAGACAGCTTGTTTCCCTGGGGATTTCTAATGACTGTCTCCATGGAGTTTCCAGGATGTTGCCTGGTACCTGCTTCAGTCAGGAATAGATGCACTTCCATCCCACGGAAATATATAGGCCTTTTTGACATAAGGTGAATAACAATATTCCAATTTCCAACTCACTCAATCTATAAGAATTTGATTATGTTAATAATAATAATTTGATTTAGTGCTTTATCATATAACTGAAAATTTTACAGTATTTACTGAGAAATATGGTGACTGTTTATTTGTAGACAAACACAGCAACCAATTCACACACAATGTTCCACAAACAGCCAGTCAATCACCAAGTACATGTGAACATGCTTGCAGTGTTCTGACCTCTATCCCTGTTTTTCGCAACCTATTTTAGCTGTTAACCATACTTTCTGTTATCTATCCTAAAATTGCTCTTCACACTCTTGAGCCTGTGACACACGTTCTTGCCTGCGTATGTCTGAATTCTATAAATACATTGCATCAGAAATACTGCAGAGAAATCCAACGTTCAGGATAAGATTTTTCGACCCATAACAGCTCCATTATAAGAATATCCTGAGGCAATTCCAGCTGCACTACTTGCCTCAGCTTCAGTTCCTCTAGCTACATTGAATCATTCAGTAAGTAATGTGAGAGAAGTAATTAATACCTCAGACACAATACAAGTCCGATTGTTATCTGTGATTACCTGAAATTTAGAGCAATTGTGCAGAATTTCTCCTCACGCATGCTCACAGAGCCAAAACACTCCCTTTTCAAAACAGCTGCACATTCACAGTGCACAGGGCAATAGACTGAGGGAATAAAGTACCTTTATTTTCCCTTTTTAAAGATATATATTCAGCTGTAACTGAAAGTTAATAATAACAATAATCCGTGCATTTGATATAATGCCTTATCACATCTTCGACACATCTCAAAGTTTTCAGTTTTACTGATTTTTTTTCCATCTAGCATAAGCTATAAGCTAACTATAGGTAATCTATAAGCTTACTTATATATAAGATAATTCATGAGTAATCAAAATATATTACTTTTGGCAATCTGTATCTTATAGACCTTATAGATCCTATAGGAATTGAATGAATATTGGAGGACAATTTATTTTAAAGTGAATGTGAAAAAGCAGGGAATTAAATTGGGCTAGCTCCATCGGAGAAGTAAGTAGCAGCATAGATGACAATGGGAAGAATGGCTTCCTTTATGCTGAAAATGTTCTATGATTTGTTAGATGTCTGGGTCTGGGGCCATGTGGCTTTGCTGACTTTGTACTGGTGCCCACAGTGAGCATGCTGGAGCTACTGTTAATTTGCAGAGTATATTCTCTGCTGGAAGAATTTTCCAATAAAACACAGTGCAGAATGAACCGACCAGTATTTTAATTTCCTAATCTTAATGTAGATCAGACAAAGGGAGAACACAGGCGGTATTCCAGGTGCCAGCACCAATGAGAAGGTTCAGGATTTCCATATTAATTCACAGATATAGAACACTCCGTGCTGTACAAAACATAATTTTGCTTGACAAATAACAGAAGAAATGATTGTAACCTGCTAGTCTTTGAGTGGAAAGTGCCACTAACCGCATGCTGACTGCTGTCAAGGCTGACACTCCAACACAATTTTGGGAGCACTGTATTGTTGGAGCTGCCATCCTTCGGATGAGAGGTTAAACTGAGGTCCAGTTTGCCTGTTCAGGTGGACGTTAAAGAATTCTGACACAAATCAAAACCAAAAAGGAAGTTTCTCCTGTTGTCGTTGACAACAATCTCCCTAATAAAAGTGAATAATCATTCACTTCATAGCTGTTTGCGGAGCGTTGCTATGTTTAAATTGGCAGCCGCTTTTACCTACAAATATAGTCACTACAATTCACAGTAAAATCCTGGGAAGTGTTTTGACATGATAAGGCATCAAATTTCCACCCAAAAAAAAGCCTAAAATTGATGTTGCAGAACCAGTTGTATTGAGGCTTCTGGTATAGGCTGTTCTTAGGACTGAGCCTGCCCCTTGAGAGGCAGCATTGACTCTTTAAATGACTGAATTCTCCCAAGCATTAAAAGATTTTGTCATAGTTAAAATGTGTTTAAAGGGGAAGTTCACTTACATTCCACTCTAAACATTTTTACAAACCTTAAAAATAATAATAATTTGGTCACGTAATCCACGACTGTTTGTGGGACACTGCTGTGCACAATTGGCTGCTGCATTTCGCCCACAAAATATACAGTCAATTCACTTTACAGTATATTCAGTGAAGCGCTTTGAGACGACTAGAAGATGTAACAAGGCGTTATATCAAATGCAAGGATTATAATTATTATTAAAGTGGAGGTGAGATGGAGAGATCGAGGAAGAGGATGAGGAGGTCAGAGTCATAAATGAGGAGATGGTGGCAGGACCTAAAGCTTCGGTATTGTCCTAGTTCCTTAATTGCAGGAAATTCACAGTCATTTACGTCTGACAGGGAAGTGAACAGAACATCAGTGAACCTGAAATCAAGAGTGGAAGTGAAAACCTAGATTTAGGTGTAAGCCGCAAACATGCAGAAGTTAACCCCGTGTCTGAAGATGACGTTGTCAAGAGGGATCATGTAGATGAGGAAGGGGGTAGGGAGGGTGGAGTGTGAGGGGGGCAAGACTAGATCCCTGCAGTACTTCTATAACTTGGAAATGAAAGTTGCTTCTTGGCATTATTGTTACCTGTTAAATTCTTCAACTGGTCTGTGAAATTCTCTGCAGCACATTGTTTCAAACTTTAAAACATTCCGTTTTCAGCAAATACTAACAGAAATGTTTCAGTACAACCTTGGTTCAGTGTAAAATTAAATACACATTTTGTTTGCTATAATCGATTTTATTGAACAGAAGTAAATTTAGTGACTTGACTACCAGCAACTTGGGATATCCTTCCAACATGAAAGGAGCTATATAAGTGTAAATTTGTATTGCATCTGCTGTGTCAAGCAACTCACTAAACATGCCTTTGCCCTTGATAAATGTGCCGTTAGGCGACAGAACATCAGATGTTTCCACCTTTGGGAGATTATTGACTGGAGCCAACTGGGGTGAGGATGTTATCATATGACCCATGTGATATATGTCATATGAGAATTTTTTAAATTATTGTTCCAACCACAGCCCAACTGTTAGTCTGATACCATTTTGCCAAGTCAGCGAATGGTGTTAAGAGGCCACTTGCAGAAAAAAAACACAATTTAAAAAAAAATGATGGCTGTGGAAGAGAGGAGGGGAAATACACAAATAAAGTCAGCTAAATATTATTACTGACAGAATATAGGAATTACTTCAGTCAAAAAGAGATACAATAGAAAGGGAGTAAGAGGAATGGTAGAAAGGAAAATGGGCCCATGGAAGTCAGGACAACAGCTACATCAAGAACATCTTGCACTTATATAGTGACTTTCACATAGGAGAATGACTCAAAGCACATTACAAAAATTAAGTGACAACAATTAAGGGATGGGGAGGAGGTGGCCAAAGGTAAGCAAATCAGTTTTTGGATGGGCTTTGCAAGTAGAGGGGTAAGGAGCAAGGTTAATGCATTTCGGAAGAAAATTCCAGAGGATGGAGGCAAAGTGGATGAAAACTTGTCTGCGAAGAATGGGGCATTACTGGTGAGGGTCATGAAGCAGGCCAGAGTTGGTGGAGTGGAGGAAGTGGTCAGGGCAGTTGGGTCACTGGAGATCTCATAGGTAGGCTGCGGTGCTAGCTTGGCGTTGAAAACGACAATGATGCAAGTTATCAAGGTTGGGATGAGGGATATGCCTGTCCGACATCAAGTCCTGGATGAGGGCAAACTTCCAACAGTTGAATGTGAACAAGACTGAGGCCCTCCTGATTGGCTCGCACCAGCGCCTCAACACCGCAGGCTCTGGCAGCAACAATCTCCATGGTTGCACACTTCAACTCCCCAAGCCAGTCAGGAACCTAGGTGTCTTGTTCGACCCTCAACTGTCTTTTCTGTAAATTTCTGTGAATTTACTGTATATTTTGTGGGGTGAAATGCGGCAGCCAATTGTGCACAGCAGTGTCCTACAAACATCTTGGATTGAAGTGACCAATTTATTATTATTTTTGAAGAAATTATTACCCTCGGAAAAGCAATCTGCCAATCGACTAACAACTAGGTTCCTACTTACTACTAGGTAAACACAGGCATGTGGAGTAAGGAAACTTGCCCAACATTTCGCCCTGCTGGGAATCGAACCCAGTCTCTTGCTTGTGAGGCAAGTGCTCTAACCACTGAACTACAGATCTCCACGATATAGCGCCTTATCACATCTTCAATACATCTCAAAGTGCTTCACAGAATATACTGGAAGGGAACTGACTGTACATTTTGTGGGTGAAATGCGGCAGCAAATTATGCACAGTAGTGGCCCACAAACAATCATGGCTTGAGTGACTACATTTTTTTTAAAAAGGATTTATTACCCCCGGAGAAGTAATCCGCCAATCGACTAACAACCGGGTTCCTACTTACTGCTAAGTAAACAGAGGGTGTGGAATAAGGAAACTTGCCCAACGATTCGCCCTGCTGGAGACCAAACCCAGGTCTCTCGCTTGCGAGGCAAGTGCTCTAACCATTGAGCTACAGGACTCCACATGATGGTTGTATTGAAGTTATCAGGGCACATGTAATATTCCATTGATCAAACATTTTGTGACTAAACCACTTCACTTCAGTTTTCTAAAATTACTACTCAAATGAATTGTAATACCCCACTTCATTACCAATCGAAAGCTCTTGGCAAAAAGTTCAAGACGGTTTTTTCATTTTTTCAGGAACTATCAACTATTCAAAATTGTGAATATCAACTATTCAGCTGTGAAGTACCAAGCAGAACTATCTATTAGTGTGTTGCTATAGTGAGTAGCTGAGCCACACAGGCTGGGAAGGTCCCGATTAAATCCTTGGTCTATGTTGAGGTAGCTGATTCAGCCGGGGGCGTTAGGGCCACTACCATTTATCTCATTCAGCACCCGGGGTTAGGGAGGGAAAATTAGATTGTGGTTCCAGTCTTGATTCAGTGACTCCTGCTGTGTGAGGCTCTGTATGTCCATAGGATGAAGGCAGGTTTGCGCTCGGCTCCAATGTTCCTGATTGTCAAAAGGGGACATTATGACCCTCGCTGAGGATCCATCTCCCAAATGAAGGCAAAGTGAGTCATGAACCTAGAAGGGAAACATTGGAACATATAGTGTGAACTATAGCATATTCACAGAATCATAGAATTATACAGCACAGAAGGAGGCCATTCGGCCCATCGGGTCTGTGCCGGCTCTTTGGAAAGAGCTATTCAATGCAATCCCACACCCCTGCTCTCTCCCTATAGCCCTGCAAGCTTGTCCTTCCCAAATAATTATCTACTTCTCTCTTAAAAGCTGTTATCAAACATTCATAATACTAATCTTTTGTATTTGTGCATACTTAGGGTGAAAGGTATGTGACTATCCCATGTAGAGACTTGTATAGAATAAAATCCTTTTCAGTGTGTTTACTGTGATAAAAAAGCCATGAATGCAGTTTGTGTCATGCTTAGCCTAAAGTTGTCAATCAAGTATGGAATTCATGTCATTGATTTGTCACGCAACTGGCACTGCTGAGATAAACAAAAATAATCATTTGCTCACATTAAAGGAGTAGAGGGTCTGGAGGGGGAGTAGGAAGAGAGAGATTAAGAAGTAAAGTTTGAGATAAAGGTAAAGTTTGCACTTACCTTGAAAACACTCCTGTGGCATCCAACACCTTGGGCTAGGAGATAAAATCAGGCTGTGTTCCCAGTCTTGATTCAGTGATCCCTATTGTGTGAGGCTTTATATGATCACAATATGAAGGCAGGATTGCGCTCAGCTCCAATGATCCTGAGAGACACTCTGACACACACAATTGAGGAATGGCTTTTTTTTCCATAGTAAACATACTGCAAAATGATTATGATTCATAGCAATCAGTTAATAATGAAACCCTTTATTCTCTATAGGCCTCTTCATGGGAGAGTCACATACATTTCACAGTAACTAAAGCCAGTTGTTTACCAATAACTATGGGGAAATACAAAATATTATAAGTACACTTTGGATCACACGAAATGCTCCATAAACACTGGCACAGACCTTTTGAGTTGAGTTTCAGTGTTATACATTTGATGTAGTTCTAAATTAGGAGATTTCAGAATGTTTTCAGCCAAGAGATAGCAACAAGAGTTCCCACGATTCTGAACTGGAGCAGGAGACCATAGCTGAGTATATTAGTAAGGATGATGTAGGAGTGTGAGAGACGAAATAGTGCAAGATTAGTTTTTTCCTTTGAGAGCGGCCAGTTAGGTCACAATGGTCTTTTCCAGTACTGCATATTCCTATGTTCCTAAAGCAGAGGTTGTGACAGTTTTCTGCACTGATTTCTGCTTGTGCCAATGTCTAGTTCTCACATTTGGCTCTTGCCTATTCAGGGGTTGATCTCTGGGTTAGCAAAGTATCTTTCCTCTGTTCCTATACATGAGGAGCTGCTAATGATTCCTTGTATTTTTATGACATGAAAGTTTCCAGTGGCTCTACTCTCAAATTTGTAAGAATAACGCATGTGAAGTGACTGTGGTTAGAACTTATGGGAATTACATCATGTTCAGTTTCACAATAAAAATAAATAAAAACAAACTAATGACTGAGTTTTATTTTCTGACACGGGATTCACCAGTGTGTGGGTGTAGTGACTAAATGCTCTCTGCATTCATTGTGTTTCTAAACTGCGACCTGTACTGATCAAAAATTCTTACCTCCTGCTCTTTGTCTATGTTGTCATCAAGATCACGTCTACTAGGTGTCTGTGTAGAGCAACGCAGAAAATCTCAAATCCAGTCATTTGAAAACCATGATTAGGTGAGAATTTTTAAATCACTTTTCTGATTTAATTTTAAGTGTATAAATGTAAATGATTTGCACTTTGTACTTTGTTACAGTTTCCTTTAGTGAATTGCAGTACTTTCATTTCATGTTAACAGTAATAAAACAGTATCTCTTTATATTTTAAAAACATTTAGTCAAGTTTGAAAATGTAATTTTTAAAACAATATATCAACCGTAGTGGACCACTCTTGTAAGATCCCACTTCCTGTTGTATCAGTTGTGCCAACCCAAGTATCTGTTATAGTACCAATGAATAGTGTTAGATAACAGGTGACCACAAGTACCATAGACAGTGTAAAAGGCAGCCTCAACGGGCATGAAGACTTAATATTCAGATTAAAATTGTCCTCCAAGAAGATTATGCAGAATGTCAGCAGATTGATAGTGCTGGAAGCACAATATTGGAGATTCTCCCACCATGTCCAGCAAGTAAAAGCTAAGGCTGCTTTAAGATGAACAGTCTCATGTAATTCACAGCAATAGGGATATGAAGTATTTAAGGAGATATGAATAGGTGGGTTAAAATTTGTACCTGACCCTTAAAATCCAGAAACTTGTTCAGATATTTCTTATCTTTTTAACCTTTTTTTTTTTGGCCTATTTCAATTTTAGGTCTGAGAGTTTGGCACTGCATGCACTCCTGTTCTTATTTATCTTTCTAAATCCTGGTAAGTGTGGTTTCTGACATTTTGTTTGTGTTTGCTATATTACAAGAACATTGTAGCATTCAGACTCTTAGAGCATGGACAATGGGAAAGAAATAACTTTCTATAGCACATCAAAGTGTCTCCCAAATGCATTACAAGAAGTTATTGTCAAGGGTAGTGACTGTTTTAGTTGAAAATCTAAATGATTGTTGTTTAAGATCCCATGACACTGATTATCAACGCTCTAGATTAATCAATCATTAATATTTGCAGGATTCTTTAATACAAATGCCTAATAACAGTTATGGTAATCACCTGGCTGACCAAAAAAACTGATTGTTTGCTAAACCTTTTCATAAACACATTCAGGGCAGTAGTTTGCACATGGGATTGTTATTGAGACAACTCTGCTTGGTAAGTCTGGCTCAGTTGGTAGCACTGTGCTTCACGGTCAGGAGGGTACATGTCCAACTCTGTCAACAGCTGAACTCTTAGTTTCACGGCTGAATGTGGGATGTAAAAATATGCTGCCTACAAACTCACTACACTTTGCAGTAAATCCTGATTGGAGGATAGTTGAGAAGCTTTGAGAAAGACAGCACTTTCAACAATGCAGTGAAGAGCTCACTCAGTACTACACTGGATTGTCATCTCAGACTATAAACTCATTTTAAACATTCTGTATAATCTCCTGACCCAGAGGCACAGTACTACCAACCAAGCCAAACTTACCCAGGTTTACACAGGAGAGCTGTCTGTCAATAACACCATCTTATCCTCTTCTGGACCATTCATTTCATTGTCTACATCTTACCCATTGTTAATTCATCTTCTCAACAAGTGCAGTTACCATGCTTCGGGTTTTGTTTTCTTTGGTTCTGTGTGAAATGGTCAATTAAACAGTTAACATTTAGTGATCTTTAGAGAGGGAATTGCCCTCAGCAGCCACCGTTCCTCTTTCCAATTGCTTCTTCCTCTTTGTAAATTACATTCTCAGCTATACTCACAACCCGCAGTTTTGATTCTGCCTCTGTCCACCCCCAGACCCCATTTTCCACCTATTTTGGAAGTCCCTGAGGGAAGTATTGCTGTTCTTTCTCTGTTACCAACGTAAGAACTGGTGGAGTCATCGAAAGTGACCTTTCTGGCTTTGTTGATGATGCAAAGCCTGAAGGAGGAGTCAAGTTATTTTAGATCACACAAACAGAACATTAGAGTAAATGGGCATAAGTGAGTTACCTTTAACTCTGAGAGGAACAAGTTATTTATCTCGGGAAAGATGATGTATGCTTTTGCCTGTTACCCTCTTCTCTATAAGGGCACTTATGCAAACATTGTGGTGGTCTGAATTGGTGAGATGAATAAGCGACAAAAATGACTGGAAAAGCAGGGAAAGGAACGTTTATACTCAAGAAATCTTGGGTTGCCTATCACTATCACTTGTGGAGTCCTGTAGCTCAGCGGTTAGAGCACTCGCCTCGCAAGTGAGAGACCTAGGTTTGATTCCTGGCAGGGTGAAATGTTGGGCAAGTTTCCTTACTCCACACGCCTCTGTTTACCTAGCAATAAATAGGAACCTGGTTGTTAGTTGATTGGCGGATCACTTTTCTGGGAGGTATTAATTGCTTCCAAAAATTAATACAATCCAAAATACATTTGTAAAGCACCTTTAACGTCGGGAGGATGTCCCAAGACGATGAACAGTCAGGGATTAGGACCCGAGCCAGCGGGGTGGGGAGGTTGGGATCAGGGAAGGTGGAGGGCAGAGAGAGTAGGAGGGTGGCCGAAGGCACGGTCGAAGAGGAGGGGCTTGAGACGTGCCTTGAAGGAGGCAAGGGAGGGAGCGAGGAAAGGAATGTGGGATGGAGTTCCAGAGGTTGGGGGCAGAGAGACTGAAGGCCTCACTGCTGATGGTGGGACTGGCCAGGCGAGGGACATGGAGCAGGCCAGAGCCTGATGAGCGGAGGGAGCGGACAGGTTGATAAGGGGTTAGCAGGTCAGAGAGGTAGGAGAGGGCAAAGCCATGGAGGGCCTTGAAGATGAGGATGAAAATTTTGGACTCAATCCTCTGAGGGATGGGGAACCAGTGGAGCCAGGTGAGGGTGGGTGTGATGTTATCACGGAGCCTGGTGCAGGAGAGGACACGAGCTGCAGAGTTCTGGATGAGCTGCAGCTTGTGGAGGGAAGTGTTGGGAAGGCTGACAAGTGGATCGTTGTCATCATAATAACTAAATAATAATAACTAATTATAAATAGGTCATTCCGTTCCACAATTGTTTGTGGGACATTGCTGTGCACAATTGGCTGCCGCATTTTGCCCACAAAATATTCAGTCAATTTACTTTACAGTATATTCTGTGAACTGCTTTGAAACATCTCGAAGGTGCTATATCAAATGCAAGGATTATTATTATTATTACTATTGGCAACTTCAATGTACTAAAAGGCTTATATCTCTCCAATGATGGACTATTGAGGCAAATAGCATGAAGTAGAATATGTGCAAAAGCAAAGAGATTTTGTGACATATACATTGCTACGCAGTAAATTATTCAAAGTCTTACCTAGGGGGAGTCTATCCTCCTTTTCTTTCCTTTTTCTTATTTACTTGCTCTCCTTGGTGATGTCAAAGTGCTTCACAGGATTTGCTGTAAATGTGCAGTGACCATGTATTTTTTAGGCAAAAGAAGCCACCGTTTTGCATACAGCAATGTCTCACAAACATCTATGAAGTGAATGATCAATTTTATGTGGGTGATTGTTGTCCAGGAAACTCACTTTTTTCAGATAGTGTCAATGGGATCTTTAACATTCACCCTGAACAGGCACATGGGAGGTTGGTTTAAGGTCCAACAATGCAGTGCTCCCCCAGCACTATATTTGAATTCATGTGAGACTTGAACCTCAGCCATCTGCTAAATGGACCCGTTCTCATGTAATAGTTTAAGCAAAAGAATAGTCAGCATTGGAATCTGGATTTGCTACTTTTTTTTAATTTTGGCAATCAAATGCCGAGGTTAATGCCAACACTCCCAGTTCAAGCATTTTAAACTGGAAGCCAGTAAGGAACTGGCAATCAAGCTTCGGCAAGTGGGAAAAATCCACCCACTTACACCAAATTTACCCTTTAAGCACAAAAATAAAAAGTAAAGACAATTCAAATGTTTTATTTAAAAATTCTACTTTATAGTGTATTGTAGCCATTTGTGCTGCAATTCAAGAATAAAAAGAAGCTCCCCTCAAATCAAGCTTTCATCAAAACTTAAGCAAATTACAGTAATGCCGGCTGATCTAAGATGCAAGGGCCGATTTCAGCCCATGGGACCATCAAGAAGCAGCTGCGCGGGCATTCATATTAGTCTAGGTAAGTCCCTGTTCAATCACTAGTGTGTTTTCAGGTTTTTCTTGATTGAATATTCTTGATTTAATGCATAAATCAAGAAACATTCGGTCAAGAAAATTTATTTTGTTGGCCACAACTGCAGTACAGTCTAGACTGATGCTCCAATGGGGTGTTGGGTAAGAGCCACCATTGAATGGGACATTAAATTGAGGTCCGGTTCAAGTGGATGCTGAAGATCCCACATAACACTATTAATAAAGGGGAAAGATTATCCTGGTGTCCAGGCAAACAGTCTTCCAGATAAATTGGTCATTTGTATAGTGTGTGTTTGTGGGACATTGCTGTATGGAAATTGACAGATGCAGCCGGTACACTTAACAGTAATTCTCTGTGAGGCTCTTTGAAATGTTTTGAATTTGTAGCTGCTGTATCAAATAGAATGATTCTATTATTTGTTAAGCGCAACCCTTCCTCTCCCTTCCCCTTTCCCATGGTTCAGAGCACTGTATGTATCGTGTCTATCGTGATAATTCTTTTGCAGAACTAATTTATTTTTCAACAGCAAAATAACAAAGGGCCAATCAGCCTTTAATCTCTTCAACTGGTTACAGTTTTTGAACTCATGAACCATATAGCTATTTTGTATTCATGAACTGTATATAGTTCTGCAGCATGGAAACAGGATATTCAGCCCAAATAGTGTTTATAATAATAATAATAATAATCCTTGCATTTGATATAGCGCTTTTCACGTCGGGAGGACATCACGTGGAGTCCTGTAGCTCAGTGGTTAGAGCACTCGCTTTGCAAGTGAGAGACCTGAGTTCAATTCCAGGCAGGACGAAACCTTGGGCAAGTTTCCTTACTCCACACGCCTAATAATAATCCCTCCAAAACAAAAAACAATAATAAATTGGTAATTTTCAATCTACGACTGTTTGTGGGACATTGCTGTGCGCAATTGGCTGCTGCGTTCGCCCACAAATATACAGTCAATTCACTTTATAGTATATTCTGTGAAGCGCTTTGGGACGTCCTCCTGACGTGAAAAGCGCTATATCAAATGTAAGGATTATTATTATTATTATCCCAAAGCGCTTCACAGAACACACTGTGGGGAAAGAATAAGATTAGATATTACCAGACTGACTATCTCTGATGTATCACTCAATGGTTTCTCTTCATGTCACACATTTGCTAGCTATGTCACCGGTGCTCCTATTCATTATATCAGGATATCAATCGGGAAGTAGACAGGTATATAAACATTAGAGGCTTGGAGGGGTATGGGCATTGGGATTACTCTGAGAGCTAATGTAGATTTGATGGGCCAAATTGCCTCCTGTGCTGTAACTGTCTAGGATTCATTAAGTAGATCATGTAGTGACATTCCCTTGAATCACTGTGATACAGTTCCAGTTACTGACATAAGTTTCAATTTGTTAATGTAGCCAGAGAGTACTGCTTTCAACCCAATTATTTATTTTGCTTATTTGTTTTGTGCTGAAATCTTTTAAAGCCCTGTTTTTTTTTCAGTGTTTGGTGTCAATATCAACATCACAGTAGTGATTGGGGATACAGTGGAACTGCCTTGTAATACTATTTTAAATGAAAGCCGAAATAACCCACGGATCAGCATGCAGACACACAGACACCATGTGGTGCATTCATTTTCCTCTGGAAAAGATGATCCAGCGTATCAGCATCCACAGTTCAAAAATAGGACAAAGATTATTTATTGGCCTAAACTTGCCATAAAACTTTCCAACGTGTCATTTACTGATGAGGGAGCTTACATTTGTAATATTCAGGAGAAGAGAAATGATGAGTATGAGACAACTCATTCATTTGAATTTAATCTATATCCTACAGGTAAGTTGTTATTTATTTCCCCCTTTCTCCCTGCACTTCTCTTTTCCTTTGGTATTATACAGCACTTATCCTTCACAGATCAGAGTGCACAATAAATAACATCTTCACTTACCATTGTCTGTACTAACAGTTTGCTCATAGAAACGACCAATAAAGTTGCTTTTTATCCACAAAAATAAAAGGCAGATTATTTTTCAGGGTCTTTTGGTCAAAAAAGGAGAAAATTGGGAGAAGAAATATAACACAAAAAACTCAGATAAAAACTGTGAAAAATCACAGGTCATAATGCTATAGGCTCTAAAATATACAAAATAAAAATTGTCCTGTGAGGATCAAAAATAAAAAGTTATTTTTAGGATGTGGAGAGAAACAACCCTCTTACTTGAAGAGGAGTGCATCACCTGCATTGTTACACATCCTTTAAACAAGAAAAGAAAGTGTGCAACCAATTATATGTTACTGCCTAATCCATTGTGTTTGCATTTTGAACACAGCAGAAATATGCATCAGAATGCAAGTTTTCCAAGCCCTTTATAATCTTACATAATCTTGTTTTTAATTAATATTGTAAATTTAGATATGTTTGGTTGACAGATTTTTTTTATAATCAATAATGTTTGTTGCTTGATTCAAGAACTTTACTACTCACCAACAATAACTACGGCATGCAAGGATAAAGCGAAGTGTGGAGCTGAGGTAAATTTAATCTGCTCTTCAAGCCATGGTTACCCAGAATCAACCGTTGAATGGAAAAATGAAACCGGAAATATTGTTTTGGAAGGGGCAATAACGAACTTTGACTGTGATCCTGTTAATCATCAGTGCAACTTCACCAGTGTCCTGAAAATAACAGTAACTACAAAGGTCAAAATTATCTGCTCTGTATTAAATCTCAGCCTTCAAGACAATAGAAGACTGGCTGAAATTATTCTTGGTAAGTAATGGAGTTTCTTGTGGATTTCTTACTTGAGGTCATACTAAGTTTGTATTTTTGTAGTATACTAATAATCCTTGCATTTGATCTGGCGCCTTGTGATGTCATCGAAACATCTCAAAGTGCTTTCCATAATTTACTGTGGAATGCAGTGACAGCCAATTGAAATACAAATACAAGAAATATTATTATTATTTAGCTCTATTGACCCTACTTCCGGTCCCTGCCTTCGCTCCACCAGCTCTGTCCTGTGTTGTGACCCCACTTGTTCCAGCCCACCATCGCTGGACTAGCTTACAGCCATTTTGGTCCTGTTCTCTGAAACTTTCTTCTCAAATTCAATCACTTGCCCCCCCCCCTCTCAGTTTCCAAAACCTGCTGTTCTTTGAACTGCATTTTCGGCAACCTCCCTCTTACCTAATAATATCCCCTGCCTTGAGCACAACATTCATTCAGCAAATATTTGAAGGACTTTGCATGCTATATATAGAGAGGTATTACTGTAACAATGTTAAATTCCTAATTTGATTCTACTTTTACCATATTTTCATGTTCACGTGCAATTAGCAACACTAAAATCTCAAGCAGCATTATAACAGTGCCCACTCAGCACTCACTACACTTGCTCGTAGAAGACCAAATGATAATGTGCAAGAAGTCAAACTGTCTGACTACCAGGCCCACGCCTGCTATCACTCCTGAGTTATGCTTGAGCAGTACACAGAAAGTAATGTCGGCAGAGACCAAATAATGTGAACGTCAGTTATTTTATTAGCACACAGGATGGTCAAGCTCCAGGGCGTTCAGGCATGACCATCGCTGCATCCTGCACACTCTGCACAGGATACAGAAGCATTTGAACAGCAATCTGGTGACCCGCAAATCAGCCATTTTAGAGTCCTCATATCAACCAGTGTTTTCAAGCAGCAACAGAAAGTCTGTGCTTTTCAAATATTTGAATAAGTAAATTATGCAAGGCTCCACAACCCAAGTGAACCTACATTCTAGTGAATTTCTTTAAATTTTTAAAGATTCAAATGTAATCACGGGAGGGCATTGTTTAAAGAGTTGGTGTTGCACAATGATTGGTTTCGTTTGTTAAAATGGAACACCAGGGCTAAAAATGCAATACTGGTCTATGATAATTTTTTGGCAGCTGGTTGTCTGACACATACAGAAACCAAGCACCATGCTTAAGAGTATCGAAATCAGACTGAGAGTTCCAAATATGTATGCCACCTACACAGGGAAATCTCCCTGTATTTCCCTGTGTAGGGAAATCTCCCTGTGTCTGTAATAGAAATGTTAACTCTTTGCCTGGAGGGAAGCTCCGGCTTATATAATTCCAGAGAGCCTTAGGTGCACGTTGGTAAGAACAAAAGATTAGGGCCTCCAAAGTCTATGTTGGGGCACTGCTGGAGATTAATCAGCTAAAACCACACAGCTCATTATTGGATCACTGTCTTGTGGACTGCAAGCTTACCAGCTGGGATCACCCTACTGTTTAGAGCTTGGGGACACGAGCTTAACTCATCTCAACGTTTAAAGTTTTATCACCGGTATTTTAGGTTGATTTCTCTTGATTTTCTTTAAAACATTATCAAATATTCACTTTGTTTCTTTCTATTTAGGGTCTGACATTGCTAACCCACAGAAAAATAATAAGAAAGGACTAGTAATCGGCATGGTAGCTATAACTGTAATGCTGGTTGTGACTTGCCTAGGAATAATAATCTGGAGAAGTCGGTGAGTATATGAGTTGCATTACTAGAAACCTTTGATAAGCGCAAACAAAGGGACAAAATCTGCAACTTTCTCCCTCAAAAGGCTGTGGACGCTGGATCCAATCACATCTTCAAGAGTAAGGTGGATAGATATTTATGAGGTCAGGGTATAAAGGGATATGGGGCAATGGCGACTAATTGAACTTGAGATACAGATCAGTGATAATAATAATAATCCTTGCATTTGACATAGCGCTTTTCACGTCTTCTAGACATCCCAAAGCACTTCACAGAATATACTGTAAAATGAATTGACCGTATATTTGTGGGCGAATGCGGCAGCCAATTGTGCACAGCAATGTCCCACAAACAGTCGTAGATTGAAAATGACCAATTTATTATTGTTTTGTTTTTTTGGAGGGATTATTATCAGGCGTGTGGAGTAAGGAAACTTGCCCAAGCTTTCGCCCTGTCTGGAATTGAACTCAAGTCTCTCGCTTGCAAAGCGAGTGCTCTAACCACTGAGATACAGGACTCCACATAATGATCTTATAAAATGGCAGAACAGGTTTGAAGGGCTGAATGGCCTACTCCTGTTTCTGTGTTTCTAGATTATATTATATTCTTTCTTCTTCATGCACTCCACTGATCCCAGCTGTACATGGTCATCGGACAGGCTTGGACTAGGATATGGTGCAGTTCACCAATTTGGGCCATCACTCACTGCCTAAGCTTGTGCGTGAAAAATGGTTGTTTGCTCAAGGATATGGTTTCATATGAAGTTCTCTACAGTCCACTGCTGTGAAGGAATGACCCTCTGATGTGAAACGGGTGATATAATTGTAATTTTGTTGTTGCTGTGTGCTCATTTTTTAACATTACATTGAGATTTTTCCTGAAAATGATTTTTATTCATTTTCAGATCAACAAGCTATACAATTTCTGAACAAGAACAACAAGAACAACATTTTAATTTACAGAGTGTCCCTCACCCAGAGTAACATCCTGGAGTGCTTAAATAATAACCTGAAGAACAAGAACTCTCGCTTATATCCTGCCTCTCACATAAAAGAACATTTCAGAAACACTTGCTAAACATGTTGTATGCTGAACAAGAAGAGAAAGGTGACATTTTTTTCCTTTGGAAAGATGGGAGCAAAGACCACTGGCAACATATGACTTGAATGTAACAACTATTTGTTTCTTTTATGGTTCAAATCCCACCCTAATCCATTGTTGTTTTGATTCCTGCTATTGCAAGCATCTGGACAGAGCAGGAAAAAGATGTTTTGAAAAGGGTGTGGTGGACCCTTTTAAGATCTCACTTCGCCATCTGGTGGTACAAAGATCTTGGTGATCCACAAGCCCTTTCAAGTTATTACACTACATACAGCTAGTGAAATTCCACCTGCATCTAGATTTACTCTATTTATGTAGCCACAATTTAGCATTTTTTTAAAAAAATGTTGTCTTTGAAGCAGGTTTTCTGTAGTTTTTAAAATAAATTTACAGAATATCAGCTTCAAAATTAAAATTAATTCTGCACATTCCGAAATGTTATATAAATCATGTAAATCTAGTCCCAGGTGGAATTTCCCTCCACACTGACGGTGAGTAATAAATTAAATTAAACTGAATTTACCTGATGAACACTGTTACCACAAAGTCAAACTGCTCAGAAATCAGACACACACGTATCGGAAAGCCCAGCAGAAAGACTTAGTTTAGGTGAAGAAGTTTTAAAAGGCAGAAATGTTTCAGTTAATCTATAATTAATTTTAAATTTTAATTGCAAATATTAAAGAGTAGGACAAAGTAAATTAGCATAAATGTCACAGTTGTTAAACTGAGGTGTTGCCCCTGAGATGCGAATGTATAATCCCCAGAGAATGTTCAGTCTCAGTCTCCCTGATGTGTCTGTCTGCAGAAGGATGAGATCATTTCTTAACTGGATGTTATGTGGATCAGGAAGCTCCAGGAGGAAATGGACCTTGGGTTCCAATTTGGTTGGATTAATTTGGTATTTCTTTCATGGATTCTCCTGCATTAAATTTCTCCCCAAAACTTTAAAAGTCCTCACTTGAAATCCAGTTTATATACCTTCCGCCCTCAGCCCTGACCCTTTGTCTAAGATCTTTGAGTTTATGGCTTAACCTATCTTTATAATCCTCAAACCTTTTCGTTGACACACATTTGCCCAATTACATTTTAAAGGAATTATTTTGCCAATTTTTTCTCATCCTCCTTTTGTTAGGTGCTGTGGTATGATTCCACAGATGCTAGTCATGCTCCACTACCTCACCCAAACAGCAATCCTTCAGGTTTGAGCTGAGACAATGAGCACTGGAAGCTTTCATCCATGGTGGACATCCCACCCAAGTCTGATCCTTTCCTTATCCAACATCCACACACAAAGATTATCCAGCAGGAGTCATTCCTCTCCCTTAGCCCATGGAGTACACAGCCCAGATAGCTCAGTGTGGTCTGAGATTCTAATCTTGAACCTTCTAATTTATATGATTTCATGCTACCCACTAGCTCAGCAGGAGAAGCATTTTTTTAAATTAAAAAATAATAATTTTAATACATGTTATCTGCTGAATTTGGGAGTTTTAAGCACATATGTAATACTAGACAGGGAAGAGTTTCTCCTAATATCTTGCAGACTTGTAAACATATTGTTGGATTTCTGTATTCATGTCAGTACTACACACATTCCATCACATTCCCATAATCCCTTCCCTCCCCTAATTAATGTGTCCAACCCACCCATTTTCTCCAATCTACAATCTAAATACTTATCTTTGGATTCCATTTGTTATAAAAGTAATCTGGATTTAGACGTATAACAAATAACCATAGGAAGACTATTCATACATCTCAGGCATTACACACATTACAGTACTTATAATTAAACTAAGAGTTTAGTAAAAATATCATAAAGATGGTTCTCCTTGATAAGGAGGTTGGTGCTTGATAACGTTATTTGTTGTTAGACATTTCATGGTGGCCAGTAATATGAGCCCAACTACTGCTGCTCTTCAGTTCTCTATCAGGAGTCCAGTTCTCTGTCACTCTCACACAGATTCTAGATTCATGGAGCCAGACTAGTGTGCATTGTTTTAGAGTTAGGAAAAGGAAAGACACAATACGATAGTGATGACAGATACACTGTTTGTAAATATGTATACACCATGTTTTTTATTGTAAAGCAAATCCATGAAAATATTTTTGAACAGCTTAGTGTTATCCTGAGTCTTTCCTCTATTATTATGTATTACAAAAATATATATGTTAATCACGTTCTGGATACCCACCATCAACACAACACATGCTTTACACTGTTCCAATGAGCTGTACTCATATGGTGGCAATGTTTCTGCCAAAATGATATCATTTCCTATGTTTAAAAAAAAACACAAAAACATTCCTATTAAGGCCTCTTTTATGCCTTGACCAGCATAGTGGAATTCCCCTAAAAGTGTTCCGAACAACACCCAACCATTTTACATAAAACCTTTCTCAGTTTATTTTATCCCCCCTGCCCGTATTCTAGGCTGCCAATCTTATTTCATATTTGTTGTGCGGTGCACAGAATTTCAATCCACGTGGGTTTCATTCAACATGAAGGCTATCATAATTCAACCTTCAAAGGCAAGCTATGGTGTTTCAGATGGTTCTACTCCTGCAGTCCCCCTAACAATACTATGGAGCCCCCAAGCCTTGGCTCTTTGCCACTTTTACCTAATAATCTGGAAAATTAGGGTCTATCCATCCATAGAGAGTGTGTATATTTCATTCCAGGCACCAGAATTATCATGTGTACGTGGGATGCATGGAACTCTGTATGGTTTGCATACTCTTAAGAACATAAGAACATAAGAAATGCTAGACAAAAACAGTCCAAGGTCCATCTAGTTCGCCTTCCACCTTCCTGGCGGTTGCCTGCACATATGTCCCGAACTATGTATGTTCTATATCCCATAATGTTATTTCCAAAAAGAAAACCATCTAATCTGTGTTTGAAAGAATCAACACTTCCTGCTCTAACCATCTCCCTAGGGAGCCTGTTCCACAAGTTCACTATTCGCTCACTGTAATAGTGTTTGCATAGATTTCTTCTGAATTTACACCCCCTCAATCGCAGGCTGTGTCCTCTGATTTTACTATTCTGGACAAGTTGAAACAGTCTATCATGATCTATATTGTCTTGTTCCTTCAAGGTGAACATGCCTAACTTATTAGTCGCTCGTCATAGTCCAGTCGCTCCAGTCCGTCACTCATTTTGGTTGCCCTCCTCTCTATCTTCTCGATTTCACCAATATCATTTTTCTACTGCGGTGACCAGTATGGACACTAAGTATGATCTCACCATTTATTTATATAGTGACAGGATTACCCCACTATTTCAGCTGCTATTTATCTTTTGATACATACCAACATCTGGTTTGCTTTACTCACTGCCACAGAGCATTATTGGGAGAGCTTCAATTTATTGCCAATCAAGACCCCCAGGTTCTTTTCATTTTCCATACATATTATTTTCCTTCTGTTCAAATAATAGTCCCTTCCAGCAATTTTTGTCCCCATGTGTGAAGTGCTTTCGTCATTATTATACATTTCATAGTAGCCAGTAATATGAACCCAACATACTCATGTTACTCTTCAGTTCTCACGGTCCGCTGGTCATGGGAGCAGTCTCAGGGGATCAGTATTCACTACATGATGTTGAAATCAAGGTTTGTTCCAAAACTTTGTTTAATTTTATAACAAATGTATCAGGGATGTATCTAAAGACCCAAGTCTGTTTGTGGGACATTGTTGTGTGCCTATTAGGTGGGAAATGCAGTAGTATTGAGACCAAAACATAGCCTCATAAAGCTGTCTAACCCGCATAACATTCCTGCTCCCAGTGAGCATTATAACAACACAGTGTCACGCAGATAAAGGCACTTCAGGGGGTAATGTAGATGAGGAAAGAGGATGGGATGTACTGCTGTACCTCAAAGACATGAATTCTCAAGGCCCAGCATCAGCACAGTTCTGGGTTGAGTAGAGGAATCAAAGTCTGATGTCATTGTCCTCCACCTTCTCCTCCTACTCTTGAGAGATCTATCAGAATCCAGTTCTCTGTCCCTTTCACATGGGTTCCAGATTCACGGAGCCAGGCCAATGTAGAAATTCAGGATTGCTCCGGTTTACTCAATAAGAGTTTAAACACACAAGATCATCAAATTTTCGTACGATTTATTCAAACACAAAAAGTTACATTCTCTGCATTAACATTGATATTATATTAGCATACAGCTTTAGCAAACACAACAACCAAAACCATATTACCTGCAACTCTAGCCTGGGATTGCTTCTGGTTGGAGAAAGTCCTTCCTTCTGTACAGTCGTTGCTGTCCTTCGTCTCGAGTCCACTTCTGCTTAACTCTCTCTCTCTCTCCGGGTCTTTGATCCCCAATCTGGAGTGCTGATTCTGCACTCTTTGTCACTATATATTAGTCTTCTAATCACAAAAGATGAATGGTACTAGCTTGACCTCCTGATGTATGAGACCATCCTTCCTGTGGGCCGCCCATTTCATAAGGTTCTGCTTTATCTCTTTATACATTACTTCCTCTATTGTTAGGTCCACACTGGGTTACTTGCCTTAAACTTAACCCTGTTTTTAGTGCACTGTTACTTCCTTCTTATCACAGGCATTTTGAGAGGCCTTTCATTACTCAGACCGATCATCTGGTTCTTGGTTCCTGATAACTTTGTCTAATGTTTGGTACTATCATCCAGTTTTCCAAGCTGCAACTTATGTGCCTCATACACACATTCCTATCTTTATTACACTAGTGTGCAGTTAAAGAGAAGCCATTGTTTGAAAGTTAGGAAAAGAAAAGACCCAATACAATAATGATGACAAGTACACTGTTTGTAAATATGTATACACCATGTTTTTATTGTAAAGCAAATCCATATTTTTGGACATTTTAGTGTTATTTTGAGTCTTTCCTTTATTATTATGTATTACAAAGGTATATATTTTAATCACATTCTGTGGTCTCCACTATCAACACAACATATGCTTTACACTGTTCCAATGAGCTGTACTTATATGGTGGCAATGTTTCTGCCAAAATGATATCAATTCCTATGTTTAAAAAAAACCACAAAAACATTCCTATTAAGGCCTCTTTTATGCCTTGACCAGCATAGTGGAATTCCCCTAAAATTGTTCTGAGTTCCCAACAATTTTACATAAAACCTTTCTCAGTTTATTTTATCCCTCCTGCCCGTATTCTAGGCTGCCAATCTTATTTCATATTTGTTGTGCGGTGCACAGAATTTCAATCCACGTGGGTTTCATTCAACATGAAGGCTATCATAATTCAACCTTCAATGGCAAGCTGTGGTGTTTCAGATGGTTCTACTC